GCCCACCCGCACCATGCTTGCCCCGCCTGCCGCTCACTGATTGGCTGGCTCACCAATCGCCCCGCCCGTCTCTAAGAGTCCTATCTAAACCTTAAAGTTTTAAAGCTGTCAAGTTACAAGACCCTTGCACCCTTAGCCCTTTAGAACCTCTCCCCAGGGATGTTCAAACTTGACAGCTTTAAAACTTTAAGGTTTAGATAGGACTCTTAGAGACGGGCGGGGCGATTGGTAAGCCAGCTAATCAGTGAGCAGCAGGTGGGGCAAGAGTGATGCGAATGGGTGGGGGGAGGGAGTTGGAACCGGTTCTAAATGGCACAGTAGATTTGTGGAACCTCTTCTATAGAAGAAGTTAGAACTGGCAGGAACCCACCCCTGGCACATACATATACATGTATCAACCAATGGATGGTTGAACATATACATAATGACATATGATCATTTTTGTTACTTTTAATTAAAAATATGCCTTTTCGGAAAATAAAATGGGGCTTATAAAACAGAGCAATATCTAAGGTTCCTCTTTCCAACAAGTTTAGGATCTAAAGTTACTTGATTCCATTATTCCACCCAGATCGTTAATATAGACTCAGCATAAAAAGCTGAGAACCATATCATGAACAGGCTAAAACTGTTGAATTGACCCAAAACAATTTAGAGAATCTTTGTGCACCTACCAATGTCTTCTGTCCTGGGCCCCAGAGCCCCAAAAGGGATAGGAGAGGGATTGGAGATCAGCAATAAATCCCAGGTCTGATGTGAAAATGACTGTTTATGGATCCCTTGCAAATTCCATTGGAAAGATTCATATAGCAGATGAAGGGAATGGTTAGTAAGTAGTGTGTTTATTTTTTTAATTTTGGCAAGTTTAAGATGTGTGGACTTTCGGGAAATTGAAGTCCATGCATCTTAAAGTATCCAAAGTTGAGAAATAGTGTATTAAAATTACAACTGAGCTGCAAAAATCTAGACAAAACCTCAGCAGAGAGATGGCATTTTCGGTATCCATATACTTATTGGCCATCTGGATTTGTACAGCCCAGGTACAATAAGGAAAAAAAAACTTCCCTGTTTGAGACACAGGGGAGAGTTCCCATCAATCAGAGGGAAAAGGTTGGTCTCTCTCTCCCCCTCTCTCTTTTTTTCTCTCTCTCTCTGGAATAGTTTGAATCTAGTGCTCAATATTTATGTTTAAAAGTGACCACTTGAAATTAAAGGGACAGTTAAGTCATGTTTAATATGGCCCAAAATTACTCCGGTGGCCAAGGAATTGAAGGAGGTGTTGCAAATGGTTGCCTCATTTCTTTGCACTAATCAACTGCTTTAACCAATTAGAAAAGATGGGCAAAGAAAATGTTTTTAAACTCTGTTCCTATACCTGTGTTGTGTGTTGTGTGTGATGAAGTGACAAAGGAAGCTCCCTGTTTATCTATATTTCCTCAAGATTTATTTTTGATAGGAGTGAAACTTTTCTGTCCTATGCATTTCTTCTTAAGTCCAAATATTAGTTCAAATATAATTTATCTTTGTCACAATAAGGGTGTTGTACCATGTGATCACATGCGCATGGGTCAAACCTTTTTGGACATGAGATTTTAACATTACTGGCAAGCAAAAAAGGAACAAGAGACAGAATATCCTCCTGCACACAATAATACATAGGTCCCTTCAGATCATTTTGGGCTTTTGGACCATGTATAGGTCTTTGACTAATTGTTTTATATTTTGTGATATTATGGCTGTACATTAGTGGTTGAGAAATTGTATTTTAAATTGGAAATGGCTGCCAATATTTCAAACAAGCATAAAAAGATAAAGGTAAAGGTTCCCCTCCAGTGGTGGGTTGCAGACGGTATGCCCCGGTACGCCCAAGCTCCTTACTGGTGTTTTAAGGCTTCTGCGCTTATGCACACGGCGCATATAGTGCCTGCGTGATGCTCCGCTGAGCAGCTGGAGTGTCACAGAAGCTCGCGGAGGTGCTTAGACGCATGCATGCGCGCTGCACGCATCCATGTGGACGCCCCCGGGAACATTCCAACCGTACTGGTTGAAACAGGATCCGGACCCCACCCCCGTTCCCCTCGCCCATATGTGATAGTCGTTCCCGACTCTAGGAGGCAGTGTTCATCTCCGTTTCAAAGCTGAAGTATCAGCTCTTTCTGAAGACATCTCTGTGGTTATGTGGCCGGCATGACTAAACCCCAAAGATGCACAGAACGCTATTACCTTCCTACCAAAGGTGGTTCCTATTTTTCTACTTGCATTTTTTATGTACTTTCG